CATAAAGTCGGCTTCGACGACTTAACAAGCGTTCACCCGCGTTACTTGAGGCACTTGCCGTTGAAGATGTCAGTCCACTTCCAGATGAGTCACGTAATTCCTTTGACACAAACATTGAGTTCCTTATATATTTTGTACTATTAGTTGGAGAGTTTGACTCATTGATTACATGTGTTGTGTCCTTATATTCTCTGTATTTTTCCGGACTTTCAATATCCGTTTCGAATGTTTTATTCGTATTTATAACATATCCAGGGGGTACTGATTTATCCATATCTTCATAAATAATTTCTTTTTCACATTTATTATCTGGTGCAGTTACACAGCTAAAACGTTTCTTAATACTTTCCAACGACTTCTTCATTTTAAGTTGTTGCATATTCATTTCTATTTTGCTAAATTCGTCAAGTTTATGTTCGAATTCTTCATCATTTCCAGCTAACAATTCAGCCTCAGCCTTTGCCAAATCCATTACGTTTTTCATTTCTTTCCCAGCCGCACTTTTAAAATCTGTTTCAAAACTTTTTTGAAATGTTATATTCGGATTTTGTATATTTTCTATCATCTCCATACTATCTAGTTTTGGCAATACATCATTAAACGTATTTGAGTTGATTTTACTGACTAAAGGTTCTCTTTCGAAAGTTTCGTTCATAGCGCGGATTGCGGTACGTTGATCAAGAGTTGCAATAATCGGTGATATATTTACATCTTCTGTCATTTCTTGGAGAGTTGGAGTGTATTGGTGCCGATTGTAACGAATGTTAGTAGTGCGGGGAGTAGATTCGTAAATTTTCATAGTACCTACACTCTTTCTGACACTTTCCGGTGTTTCACAGAGTGGGTCGGAGTTAGATTGCTGACACTCAAATGTTGTGTTAGTATTTCCGATGACACACACTGTTTCATTCAAAGTCGTTGGTTTTTTGAATGTTTCATTTATTTGCTGCTTTACATTGTTTAAATTGTGAGTAACGTTGGGATCACTGTTTTGTCCAGCTATTTGTTCACCATGCAAACTGTTCTCTATTAAATTAAATGTAGTATCACTGATAAGGTCATTGTTCAGTAACATAGTCCGATGTATTATATTTTCATTGCTATTATTATCTGAATTCGCTTTTCCACCATTAAATGTGTCATCCTTGTTGAAAATTTGCACTGTTCGATTATTGCAATCCATACTTTCAGTTGAATTGTCCATGGTGCTGCTGCCAGACGCAGTTTTACTGAACGTTAGCGATATGTCATCGATTTGAGCAATGTGTGAGTCTTTTATTAAAGTGCCATCGCTGGACATTGTGAGTGATTCAAGCGCTTTGCGATCCCTTATCATATCACTTAGGGTATAACCGTCACTTGTTGCTTTGTTTGAGAAATTAAAAGCGAAACGATTTACATCTTCTAAATCTAAACTTTGAGTGGATTGTAGGAAACTTAAATTGGAAAAGTCAGCCGATGTGATTAGTGAATTATTCATACGATCTACCGATACATCCATTGAGGAACAAATTGATGATGGAGGCGAGGTATCTTGCAAAAACGACTTATGCATTGTCGTTACCAATCCGCCAATTTCCAAATTCAACATGGGTGACCCATGCTGGGACTGGTGCTGATTCATATGCAAGCCATTGGTGAGAGGAGAGTTTGACTACAATAACAAATAATATATATTAGCTTAAAATTTCGCATAAATTATATAGAGAAAAAGAAACATTTTATAATCATCTTATATATTGTTTAATAAATTATATTTAAAAAAAAAAAATTAAAATTTTTCTAATTTTTTTTAATAAATTTTTTTTCAGGAAAAATAAAATGCAATTTTAAGATAAATGTAGGACGAGAGTGTTTTTAAATTGGTTGCTTTGTAAATTCGGCGTATATTGATTTCTTATCGGAACTCATGCAACATATGTTTCGGCGAATGACTCACCTCTTGCCGCTTCTGTTTCACTACGATTTAGTAACGGACAAATGTGAGAAAGCAAAACCATGCAAAACATTGGTCGGTCTAAATACTCGGAAGTGAATAGATAGCATTTTGAAGCTATCTACGCGATTGCAAAGCATTTCGCGAATTATTTGCATAAATGATTTATTTGTTTTTTTTTTTTTGTTTATTTGCTAAAAAGTAGATAAACATGATTTACTTACAAATTGTGATTCGAGATTTTGTGCCGATTTCCGCTTGGGTCGTGTGAATGTTCTTGAGTTCAGCTTATACACTGTAAAGTCGGTGTAGGTATTTAGTGTTATCAGAGTTCATGGAACATATTGCCGTGCGTGGGATTTTCAATTAATCGAAAGACAAGACCGTGTGGACAACGCAGTTGTTGCGTTATATGTAATAAAATAGAGAAAAATAAATTATATAGATTTATGTTACATATTTGGATAATTTATAGCGTTCCACTTCTTTTTTGCTTTAATTAAAATTTTTTAATTTATAAAAAAAATATGTGGTATAATATAATTTATTTATGGAAAATTATATATGAGAAAAAACTAAATTGTAAATTCAAATTTTATTTTAATATAAGGAATTTTATATTAAATAGACCCATTATTAAATTTCAATAATATTATTATTTAATAAATAAGACATTTTAGTAATTTCCTATTTGCTCTAAATGCTTTGCCGGATTCTAGTTTAGAATTAAAGACAATCTTTTTTAAGTTAAAAAGATTTTTTTAGTTTGATCCTTTCTTTCGATTGATATTTTTTTATAACAATTTTGAGTCATATACATCCAATTATCTAAGATTATATTTTAAACGAAGCTAATGCAATCTATAGAGTTGTGACTTCCATAATAAGAAAAAAGAAATTTTAAAGTTGATAAATGTTTCATGTTAAGTAAAAAGAATTCGCTTTTGTTTGTTGGCAAAGTAACTTTCTCATTTACAAGTTCTCCAAATATGGATAAACAGCATTTGAGCGCCGCACAAATTTCCACATATTGACTTTACGTGTATGAAAAAGGCCTTACCTTGTTCCTGGTTCTGTTGCTGTTGTTGCAATTGCGTTGGTATGCAATTGTTATTTTTCCACTGTCGAAGTATATTGGAAACATCATCATGAGATTTATCATCAAGAAATCTACCATAAAACATAATTATTTATATTCTTAATCGTTTAAATTCTATATTTTGGCATTTTACATACATAAAGGAGTCGTCTTTGAGAACTTCGTCGATATCAAGTATATCCATTTCAAATGATGAACCCGTTTTGCTACTTTCCTGCAGCAGTGTTCTACATTTACTTAGCCAATAGACGCTAGCACATAAATTAATGTCTAGCAATATGAATTTAATAATTATTCAAATTCAATTTATGTTTTTGCCAAAAAAATAGTTAGAATTTTTTGGCCCAATATATATTTGAAAACGAATCTTATTTTGATATTTGGTTTTATGTAATTAATTTCTTATATTGCCTCCAATTCGTTTGTTTTTATTTTCTACATAAATCACACATTATTCATCGTTTAAAAATAAAAATAAAAAAGCAACTTCCTCTATATATTTCTTAATCCATTTAACGCAATACGCGGATGAAAAGCAACTGAAAAAATTTCTGCACAAAAGAAGAAAGGAATTATAATGCTGCCAGACTTTTATTCTTAAATATTAATTATATGAATACGACATGTTATGAGTAACATGTGTTGAATATAAAAGTCAGCACATTCGTAGTGTTGTGGTATGTTTGCTCACCACATTTAACTTATGAATATGAGTAAGCAATTTATACTTAAAAAACTTTTAGGCGTTTTACTAAAACAAAAGTACAAGAAAACCAAAAATCAATTTGTTTTTGTTTAAAATTCACTTTTCAATATGATTTACTACCATATTTACCTACAGTTCACACTTCAATTTACTAAAGTATATAATTAATGGTTTTAATATATTTTTTATACGGCTATAGGTCACTTTTTGTTAAAATTAAGATTCAATGTTTGTTTAACATTTTTTAATTTATTCTTTATCCTTGAGAGTCATTATCAGGATAAGGATCTAACATAAATTAATATTAATGAAGTCTATATCTAAGCGTCATCCTCTTCATTTTGTTGTCTATATTGCACTATATCAAACAAGTGTTGAATATTAATTTTAACAAAAAGTGACCTATAAACGCCTTTTATGTTTTCAAGAACATCTGAAATAATACTTCGTCCTGAGGAAGAAGTCAAACAAACTTTGAAATGTTCCCGACATTTATATTGACTACTACATAATAATAAAAACAAAAATAAAAACTGATCTATAAGCTTTTATTTTCTATTCAAATCAGCCTCTTTTCACTAATTAAAAATAATTAAAAAAATGGACTCACAACTACTCTAAATATTAATTACATATATTTCATTAATAATGTATGTACACACATATATATATTTAAATTTTTTGTTGATAATTTAAAGATATTTTTAATGTTACTACGTTTATAAATTAATTTTTTAGATTTATTTTGACATATTTGATTTTGGAAAAAATAACTAAAGCTTATTTTGAAATATAATATACATATATAAGTTAATCTATAGTTGATTTTTAAATTTATTAAGTTGATTTTCATTAATAGATTTTTTTTCCAAGAAGTCAATTAGACTTCTTCCCATGAAGTCAGTTAATATAAAAGAAATATTCGAGAGAGAAGTAAGTACTACTCATATAGCCAGATAAATTTGCTATTCAACTATTTAAATAAACTACTTTTGAGATATTGAGATATTTCAACAGAAATTTTTTACAAATTAAACCGCGTGTATATATATAGAAAATACACATTTCAATAAATCCAGAAAGTCCAATTTCTATTTTTCTATTCTACTCTTATACTTCTTTACTTACTAATTAATATAAACTACTTATTAATAATAATAAATAATTTTAGCTAACTACAAATAATAATGAGCATTTATTTGATTTAATTTTAAAAACGATTTTCTTGATTATTATATCTAAAGAATATATCGGTTGGATAAGTTTGAAAAATATATAACTTTTTAAACATTTTTTATTTCGATATTTTTTATCTCATGCAATAGTATTAGTTAGATCAAGAAAAAATATCTTTTTATATGGCATACACTCTAACATAATCAATTTTCATAGAACCGTTATCCTTCCAGGAGGGGATCCATTCGTCTCGTTTGTTCCAAAAATGATAATTTGCTCTGGAATCTTCCCGACCCCAAATTAACTCTTCAGATTTTCTGTATTCTTCCCAGCCACCGGCAGATAGTCCAATTGAAATGTAGACCTTAAAAATGAATGATCAAAAATTCAACATTATTAAGAGAATTTAATTTAATTTCAAACTAAAAACTAATTTCAAATTGTGAAAAATTTTCTAGTATTTGATTGAACGTTTTTAATTATATAGAACAATGATCAACTAAAATAAACCATAGTGATTGCATTTGTATTTGGATCAATTATCTTATCAGCTCGAAGATTAACATGAAAGATCGGTGATTTTAGTCGTTCCTACGAATAAGTTAATTGAAAGAACAAAAATAAATGACTTTAACATTATCATATTATAGGTAAATGATCACATAAAAAGTAAATATATAGAGCAATAAGATCTTCAGTCATGACAAAGGACTGTTTGAAGAGATAAACTAATGTTTCACAAAAAGGACACAAATCATTATTGTCCCACAATATCCAGATTAGTTTGGTATGTGTCGTGTACATTAGCAATTTTTTTTCAATAATCTTTTCTGATTAGAGCCAGTTAACTTATACATCTTATTTTATCATCTAAGTATGTATCTTCTAATCTTTATATATCTTCTAAGTATCTGTGTCAATCTTTATTTCCTTGTATTTCCAAACAACCACGTTTTGCGGAAATAGATTTCAATTTAATTTTTTTGTTTATAAGTTTTCTATTTTAATGTAAATGCTGTGAGGATGGTTTTCTATTCATTCATAACCATTTCTCCAGGTCTTTTAAATTGAAACTTAAGTAAGTAAAAGTGGCTTGAGGGTCGCTTGTATTACAAAGATTAAGAATATCATCTTCTTATATTAGGTACAGAAATTGGTCCAAGTATTCTGCCTTATGGAATACCAGCGTTAGTTTCTTATTTTTCGATACAAAATGCTTTCTCTTTATGTGGAAAATTCTACATCAGTACAGTAGTACATCGTGTCATATTTTATTGAACGTCTGTACCATATCCACAAAAACGGGCGAGCAAAACTGCTCTACTAGAATGTATCAAATATTTCAACTACGATTCCTTATACTTGCTCTGTGGGAGTAGTACATAATTTTTTCTAAAACAGAACTGACATTTGGAATTGTATGTTCCTTAATGAAGATAGGATTCAGAAGAGTTTTTGAAACAAAATATAAAGAAAAGGTAAGTCACTTATCGGTTTCGAATATGCAGTGTCAGATTTCGGGATCATTTAAATATCAAAAACTGATTGCTATTACAAATCTGCATAATGTGTTTATATATTTATAGTGCTTAACAATGTATCCAAGAGATCAAAGAGATATTCTTGTTTTAAAGTTCCTAAAAGTCGGTTGTGTTAAGGTGTAAAAATAGAAATCAATGATTGCGCTAAAAACTTCCCATTTCTTCGCTCATTCTTGGTCAGTTACTATTTTCATAACGAAGATGTGAGTCCCACTAAATTTGTTGATTAAGATTATTATAAACATTGTATAGTCTTAGGCTACGTTAGAGCTGAAGCATTTCAAATAGCTTCGAAGAGTTTTCTGATGTTGTTGCTTCAGTTCTCGTTGGAGAATTTTTGTAGTTGAGGTTATGCGAAGTACACGATTTCAGGTGATCGGGCTATTGTCTTCTTATGTGTTGTTTTAACTTTAATAATATCTTGACGTGTTTATTATAGTGGTCTTTTTTAGACGATCTTTCGTTTTTGCCAATTTTACTGCATTTATAATGATTACATTAAGTGCTTACATTATATTGTCAGTGTCTCCAAGAGGCACTGATATCTTCAAAAGAGATCGTAGTTTTGAAGTTCGATTGCTCAAATTGCTTGTTTATATTTTAGTCAGTTAACAAATTTCCGCGTTTCGTTTTAAAGAGTTGACATCTGAATTTCTTATACACTTCTCTTTGAATTAAATCTGTTAATGTTCGTAAGTACGTAAGTTAGAGAGCTCTTCGAAATTAATTCGAAACCATTATAAGTTGCCAAATTGATTTGTTTTTCTTTTGATTTTGTTAGCCTTAAACGCTAAAAGGCATGCTTCGCATTACCTATATCTCCGACAGCTAGTAATTTACTTCTAAGTATTTCGATAAAAAAAATAAGAATTTTCTGAGCAGATGGTTAATCTCAGTTCACATTAGGCCATGGCTGGTGGAAGCTTTTGTTTCTAACATCAAGATTTAAGAAGCTGTAATTATCGAGCTTATTATTATTTATTATTGACATGTTCAAAAGTGTTAATTCAAGAACTTAGTCTAATCACAAAAGATTTCCAATTGTTTCTATTACGCGCTATAGCTCTTAGTTCACTGAGAGATTTACCTGACTCTTCGTTGATTGTCCTTATCCACTTATCCATGTAGTCTTTAGTTGATCGTGATTTCCTTAACCTTGTGGATTAGATTCTAGAGCAGCAAGTATGATTTCGCTGATGGTTTTGTTCTGTTATAGCCCACAGTCGGGCGTTGCAGATCGTTTTAGTCTATCAAAGTCTTAAAATTTGTCTCAAGTGTTTATTGATGAAGATTTGTAGATATCGAGCTTATGTTGGTTTAAAATATAGACAATAGTATATACAATTCATTTTTTGCTCAAAACTTGTAACATATTAATTAAAGTTGGAAAGTTAGCATACGATGAATATTCCGTATGAATTCTTCGTGGATTTCGTAAACGCTATGAAGTGCTTCTATATTACTTATTGGACGATTTGGACAAGTAACTTCATAATATTTGGAAAACCTGACCGGCTCAGCATAAGATGTTCCAAGGTTTTATTGAGTAACTTTTGAAGCTGAATTTAATGTACTCAACGTCTGTCTGTTATACATTCTTTTCATTACTGATTGGTCCACTGTAATCTCAAAGTATATTGGACATCATATGATGTTTAGTATCAGTTTTATTTTTATAACAGGATTAGCTCCTGGAATTTTTTTCACAGCAGTTGTATTGCAAACAAAGGAGTTGCAAAGCAGAAAAATCACTTTTTTACCTTTCATTTGGCTTTTTTAATTTTTATAATCAATTATATATACTTCAATTGCGCGATCCCTAAACTTTTACAACCCTTTATTTACACTTTTTAGTAAAAAAATAATAAATCTTTGAACTTACCTCGCCAGTGAAATACTCTAGTCCTTCATTGATTATTCCGTATTGCTTTCCATCTACAGACATAGATATACTCTCAGTCGTCCATGATATTGAGTAATTGTGAAAATTTTCACCGAAGTGATTTTCACCTAGAAATTCCATAAAATTTTCTGTACGTTTTTGGTTTTTCCAATATACTATTCCAGCATATAAATGCTTGCCGTCAATACCTGACTTGCAATCGTCTAATAAATTCTGATTACCTCGCGCAAACGCTATTCTAATTTGTGAATTTTCATCTTCATATGGGTATGCTGGTTTCAGCATTATATCTGGAATATATATTTATTATTTAGAAAATAAATTTTCTATTATATTACACGTATATTAATGGGGTCAACCTACATGGAAGTAACCAATCTCCAATCGGCAATTTCGCCCTTATATCAATGCGTCCATATTTAAAAGTAAAAAAATTCTTCGTATTGATTTGTGATGAATTAATAGCAGGATAAAATACGTTTATTATTTCGGTATTGATATAGCAGGCATCTCTAAAATTGCTCGTACATCTATGTAAGACATTTATATAATTTTTAATAGCTTTCCTTAATTTGATAAAAAAAGAACTACTTTTTTCTTAGATCAATTGGTTGGGCACGTATTTTCTCGGTTACAGTTGGCACGATGTTTAAACAACCATCACTAACGAAACAGTTCTTTTTTGAGTTATCGAAGAGCACGAATTCTACACTACGATTATCACTGTTCTTATTGTATATATCGTAACTCCAACGAGAGAGGTTAACTTCATCTGTGTTGTCAAAATTTTCTTCAAATATTAAGTCATCTATGCAATTAACTATTGCGGTAGTCGAAGTAGTCTGCGGTTTTCGGCAGTTTTGATTGTTAGTATGAGCTGTCACGCATTCCGGAATAAAATCTTCAATGCTATTTTTTTTAATATTGGATGTGATCACTTTTTTGGGTTTACTATTTTCTATTCGAAAATTTTCTGTATTCAAATATATGCTGTCATTATGGACAATCATTAAGGTAACGGAAACACGGTCGTGATTATTGAGAGTTATGTTTTGCTGACGAGCCGACCACATGTTATCTTGAGGTTTACTTAAATAGTCCATTATTGTTGAACATATATCATTTATTTCAATAACATACACAACCTCTGTTATTCCAGCTTTATCTAGAAATATTTTTTTTTAATAAATTGATTAACTTTTTCAATATAATACAATAATACATAAAGGATATAACCCTGGAACTATTTACGAAAACTGACAAGCTTACCAACACCGCGTTACTGAATCTCAGAAAAATTACAGGCTCCTCAGGGAGGTATGCAGATCTAAGGTCAGTTATTGCTTACTCTGATCAGTTAGTAGAGAGTAAAAGTTGGAAAACACTATACTTTTTATACTACCTTTTTTTATTAACAGATTTTACAGATCGCATTTACAGTCTTTGTCTCAAACAGTAATACATTTATTTAAATTATGCTTATATTTATGATCACTACAACAAAACTACGCGATCGGTTTTATTCCTATTTTGTTTATAATTGTCATTTTAATTATTCTTCTGAAATTTCGACACAGTTGGGAATAAGCAAAACTTGTGTAACGAAGATCGGAAATCTATACCCAATTTGTCTCCGATTTGCAAGGCAATCCTCAACTTTAAGCAGAAATACGAAACTGCAGTAGAGAACCATAGGCAGCTTGTCCATCACGATATACTAATCTTTGCATGGAGACTGTTAGAAATATACCTTAATCAGCTGAATTAAAGGTCGCGTAAACGTAAAAAACCGTTGCTTGCCATAAGGGATAGGGTGATTTGTATGGAATTGATAAAACTATATAAAAAATGAATAACAGAGGACTTGTCGAAGATAGTGTTTTCCGACGAAATAAAAATTATTTGAGTTATTTGCGTCCATGCATGAACGCGCATGGACTTGGGGTGTCAATGGAAGTGTTTTGCAGTTGAAAGACGTTTAGTCTACATTAAAGTATGGCAAAGAGCCAATTATGATAATGGGGCTATATGATAGATGGCGGTGTAAGTACAGTACAAAGATTTATAGATAAAATACATAATGTTATGTGAACATATTGAGCACAAACACATAACGACACGAAGCACCTAAGGAAGAGGACTAGTGATACTGGGTACAAAGTGTCTTACTGGCCACCTCAGGTCTCTGACCTTATCCCATTGAATATTCATGCGAAGTCCTTAAAGAAAATAATGTAGATGTACCAAAAGATATGAATGAATTGTGGGGCTAGGTGTGATAGTATTTCAAGATAAGAGGTGGTTATATAAAATAATATAATTTATGTGAATATTTGGTATAATAAATATTTTGAAAAAAAACTATCCATATTTGAAAATACATATATTGATAAGAATAAAACCTATAACTACGATCATGTAGATTTCTGACAGCTATCAGAAACATAAGAATCATTTAAATACGTGGACAGTAATTTAAATAATTTATTATATATTTATAACATTAATCCATAAAACTTGATGTTATATAAAAATTAGCATTAACATTTAATTCAGGTAGAAGTTCAAGTGTTTGCTTAAAAAAATCCCATAATTGATAAAGATATTTTTAGACAACAAGAACAATACTATAATGCTCGATTAAATATACTTTTGTAATTCATTTTCATTTCATTTGAAAAAAGCACATTTTTCTTTGAATAATGACGCTGATTAATTTGTTTTGTTTAAATGAATTAAATAACATCAAAGCTTCGATAATAATAATGATTTGATTTGATTAATAATGATTTGATTTTATGAATAAAATCTTTGTTTTATTAATATTTCTACAAAATCAGCATTTTATCGATTTTAGTTGCGAAGATAGGAGGCGTGTATCTTGTACATCTCTCATGTTAATGGATACATACATATATGAATACATAAATACGATAACACACACAAACAAACTGAAACATTTTGGTTCTTTTGACAATCTTACCAGGAACTGATATCTGAAATCCGGTATGTTTTAAGTCAAGTACGATTTCAGGCATCGTATATGCATAGATCTCAATAAATCCATAGACAACTAAAAAATATATTCTAAAACGCATACTAAGTCTTGAAACACTACAACAAAACACAATAATTTGAATAGATTATCTAAAACACAAAATCACACGAGCCGTTTGCAGATAGATCGAACACTGAATTGAGAGTAATGGAACGATAAGAGGTTTGGGTTGCTTGTGCTGATCTATGAATACCTCGAAACTCGTTTTCGAGCAGAGCATTTACTCATTAAAACCGCAAGTAAATAAAAACTCAATTTGTCTAATGTTCTTTCTCAGAAAATGCTTCACAGATTAATGGTAGCAAGTCATACTTGATGCACTTACTTTATTTACTTCCATCGGACTTGTTCCGAACATGCATTTTA